CTCTCTCTCTCTCTCTCTCTCTCTCTCTCTCTCTCTCTCTCTCTCTCTCTCTCTCTCACACACACACACACACACACACACACACACACACACACAAAATGACATGGATACTTAATTAGGAAAGCTCAGCCTATAGCTTATGCTTGTCCCACTAACTCTTATAACTTAAATGAGCCCATTTATATTAATTCTATGTTTTGCCTCATGGCTTTTTACCTCTCTTCCATCTGTACCTCCTGTTCCCTCTCCATGTCCTCTGGCATCTCCCCTGCACCTCCTCTTCACCTCCTCTTCCTCTCTCTGCCTGGAAGACCCACCTAACCTCTTCCTGCCTAGCTACTGGCACTTCAGATGTTTATTAAAAACCAATCAGAAGGTGCCTTGGCAAAGACACATCTTCACAGTGTATGAAAAGATTCTTCCACCACAGAAGCTCACAGGGCATATTTCAATGAATTTTGTGCCTCGGGTATTTCATTGACCTCCATCATGGTCCCTGGGGTTACAAATGTGTGGCACCACACCTGGCTTTTGATTTTTTTTCTTTCTTTTGCTTTAAGACAGGGATTTATGCTGCTCAGACTAGTTTCAAATGTCCCTAAGAAGCCAAAGAATAACCTCGAAGTTCTGATCCTCCTCCCTCTGCCTTCCAAGTTCTGGGACGATATGTGTGCTCCCCTTATCCAGTTTATACAGTCATTTATCCTGTCTGGGGTCTGGTGCATGCTGGGTAACCACTCTATCAGTGAGGTGACTTTTCCAGCCCCACGTGGCCTCTGCAGCTAACAAAGCACCTGACAGACAGAGCCATGTAGGAAGTGTTCTTTTACCTGTTCCCGTTGAGGGGACATTCCCGTGACATCAGCTTCACCGCTTTCAGTGCACAATTCGGTGGAGTTGAGCCTGGTCACAGCTGAGGCAACCACAGCTTCCCTGTAGTTTCAGGACTGTCAGCCCAGGCAAACCTCTGCATGGTTAAGTCCTTGTTTCTTCCCCTCCTCTCTCTCCTGAAAACCTCCCGCCTGTTCTCTCTGCTGTGGTTCCTTATTCTAACAGAACAGGTGGAGGAGCAGACAATCTGTCTACTGTGCAGGGTTAGTGCACGGAGCATGCTCTGAGGGTCATTCAGGTTGTAGCACGCTTCAGTGCTTCATGCCTGTTCATGGGTGGACAGTATCCCATTGTGTGACCGCACCACAGGTGGTTCATCCAGTAATGGACATTTGCCCAGTTTCTACCTTTGCTATGACCACAGTGCTACTGTAAGCATTTGTGTAAGGTTTATCTGGATGTTCGTTTTTACTTTTCTTGGGTATAAAGGTAGCAGGGGAATTGCTGGGTCATTTTATAGTTACATGCTTAAGGGTTTTTTTTTTCTTTTTTTGTCCCCACAGGGATTGCATCAGTATAGTTCCACAAACAGCGTACAAGCACACCTATTTCCCCAGGTCCTTGCCAACGCTTACTTTCTAATTTTAAAAATGTTACTTTTTGCCAGGTGTGATAGTACACACCTTTAATCCCAGTACTAGGGAGGCAGAGGTAGACAACTCTGAGTTCAAGGCCAGCTTGATCTGTGTAGGGAGCTCTAGGCCATTCAGGGTCTGCCTCAAGAACAATAACAAATAAGAGTTACTTTTAAGCCGTCCAGGTGGGTACGAGGTGACACTTCACTGTTTAAACCACATCTAAACTACAGCGATGCTGCTGGACACTTCCTGTCTTCTTGGAGAACCGTCTTTGCATCCTTTCACAATTTTTGTTTAAGATTTTAAAAAAATTCAGCCGGGAGGTGGTGGCACACGCCTTTAATCCCAGCAGAGGCAGGCTGATCTCTGTGAGTTCAAGGCCAGCCTGGTCTTCAAGAGCTAGTTCCAGGACAGGCTCCAAAGCTACAGAGAAACCCTGTCTTGGGGGAGAAAAGAAAGAAAGACAGGGGAAAAAAGATTTTTTAAAAATTCATGTGTATGTGTTTGACAACATATGTGTTTGTGTGCCCATGGAGACCCGAAGAGGGCTTCACTGGCTCCCTGAAGTTAGAGTTAGAGTTGGCTGTGAGGTCCCAACATGGGTTCTAAGAATTGAGTTCAGAAACTCTGAAAGTGCTCTCAACTACAGATCCTTCTCTCTAGCCTCTTCTTTCATTTTAAAAATATTTATTTTTACTTTTATGTGTATGTGTGTGCCTATGTAAGTGTATGTCAAGTACATGTAGATGCCCAAGGGGCTAGATGATGGATTTCCTGGATCTGGAGT